GCCGGCCAGGGCAAGCCTCCCTCCCTTAGGGACTAGGAGGCGAGCTCCCAGGAGGGTGCGAAACAGACAGACAGATTTTGATAAACTCGTGATTTTGTATTCTTAATCGCTTTAGCTGAAGTTTCTAGGAAATGGACTAGCGTAGGGAGCAGTTTATAGACCCTGCCCAAGGGACTGAGAGCACGTAGTCGCAGCTGCGGGCGCAGTGCACTACATTTGGGGGCTGTTCCGGGATAATTGAAATATTTTTTTCTTCGAACCTGGAAGATGAAACACGACGTCTGAAAGACTGTCCCTAGGCATCTTCGCTCGGTAAGGGATGCACCTTCGCAACGGACGCGTCATCGGCCCCACTCCGCAGGAGACTCCATCTATGTCAGTCGACAGAATGCCCAGCGGGACCCCCGCCCATCATCGCCACGCGACTCCTAAGCCCACCGTGGGTGGCAGAGCGGCCGCACGGGCACAAAGAGGTGCCCCCACAAGCGATTCCTCTGCCCAATGCTGCACCAGGAGACTGGCCCTTCACCTCGTGGGAACAATTCCATACGGCTGTGAGTGCGCTAAGGACCGTTATGGGGGGGACCATGGAGCCCGGCGATAGGACTCCCATCCTGCCAGAAGACGGCAGCACAATGCAGCCCTTTCTGCTGCGCATCGAGCGCCGGTACGCGCTGAAGGGAATGGAGCCGCGCGAGTGGGGAAACGCGCTCATAGACCATCTCGTGGGGCCGGCTCTAACGTATTGGATGTATCTACAGCGAACTATCGATCTAAGCGACTGGACGACCGTAAAGCACCGGCTTTTGGAACGGTTTAACAGAACAATGTCACCGAGCGAAACGCTATCTGAGTTGGCTAAAGTGCGATGGAATGGTAACCTGAAGGAATACACGGAGCGGTTTGCGACTGTAGCGGAGCGGGGCATGAGTCTTACCCCTGCTGAACTCGCGGAATACTACTGCACAGGGCTACCGACTGACCTCCACCTCTCAATAACTAATGAGGGACACATGAAATACCCGACGTGGGAACAAGCGGCGACAGCCGCAGCACGGTTCTACGAGCCCAAGCAGAGCTTGCTGGAACTCCGCGAAAGAAACAGTCGAGCCCTTAGGGCTGCCCTACAAGCTAATGGACCCCGTGGGCGCCAGGAAATAGGAAATCGCTCTGGGGGAGCCCGAGGAAACTGTTTTGAGTGTCAGGGATGCGGACACCCGGCACGCGTCTGCCCCAGCAAAGAGGAACGCACCAAGCGTCCGGGGGAAACCTGCAAGAGATGTGGAGGTGTGGGACACTATGCTCGGGACTGCGCCACGTATGAACGCGGCATGCCTGAGCCGGTGGACCAGCGCGGTGGAGCGCCCGCCCGTCCTAGCACTGAAACGACGGAGCGATTAAACTTGCGGGCCTAGGCGTAGTTGGAGACGAGCGTTCTAGGCCGCGTAGTCATGGCAAGGGGATGATGTGCGCGGTGGCGACAGGCCCCAATGCCATTCCAGTCTCCTTTGAGAGGAGAAACCGACTCCTCAGCACTGTGGAAGGAACTAATACGAGCAAGGAACACGAGGAAGAGACTCGACCGCTCTCGGAATTGCGGTGGAAGTCTGGGCCAACGTCGATCCTGAGTGAGG